AAATCTCCACTTGATGGGGGCAAACAAATGGGAGAGAAAACATACCAACTGAAACTAATTGAGCACCAGTCGATTGCCAAGTGGACCCAATTCATTCCAATTAAATCCAATTTTTGGTAGGGATTGTTACACAGTGGTTTGAGTCGAGTCATTAGGCCAAAAATTGAGATGAGTCAAGTATTAAGCTCAAGTCACTCTGTGTCACAATTATCCAACACAGTCAGATAAATAAAACAAGAGTGAAAGTCATTTTTCAGCATTTTAGAATCTACATGTGTACCTCTGGGTTTCTACATGTACATGTGGTCACACAACATAGTTCTTGGGACTGTGAGTCATTGCAAATATTGTTTTTTGCAAATAAGTTTGCTTTTTTGGGGGGACTCAAGTCCAATGAACTTTCACCTTAGTCAGCCCTTCTGATTATAGGCTCAAGTCAGTACAAGTCATTTGCTCGCAGTGACTTCAGTCACGTCATAACTTCATCAGGACTCAAGTCAAGTAAAGTTGCTGAAAAATTGACTCCAGTCGAACTCAAGTCAAGCCACTGACTTGTCATTACAAATTCTGCAACGGACCCACATACCCACCTACCAGCCCTCCTACCTGTTAAATAATGGCATTAAATTTCTCAATCAAATCAATCTATACTACAGTAAGTTACCATACATTTCTCAAAACGTAGTCATCTTTTACCTTCAGGGTAATTAACGATCTTACATGTACATGTGTCTTCTAGTTCATTTGCTAATTCTTCATGTTTGCGTGTAGTATTCAATAAACATTAATGTGTAGCTGCAATGAATTTTTCTTAGGCACAATTTTTCTTCTACTTTGTTTTCTTCTTCAATGTATGCAAACTCTTTTGTTTTCCCCTTTGGTTAAATGCATTGAAAAGTGCATGCTTTTAAAAAGTTAAAATTATCAATTCGTTTCCAGACAACTGAGGGTGCTGTTGTTGTGAAGTCATTTTGGGAAGATATGGTTAAGTGCATATGTGTTTCTGTTCAAATTGTAAACCCAGAATTTACTGATTGAAAACATTTCTGAGAGAGAGATTGATGCTTTCTTATTGTTATACACATATATAACAATGAATCAGCAAAGAAGAGACAACCGAGTTCAGAAAAATCTGCAAAAATGCAGGACTTTTTTGTGTACTAACCGATGTTACATTGAGGCTTCTTGACATGACATCACAGTATTTGCTAATGAATATGGAAATACTCATTACATGTAGTACCAAAAATATGGTAAATACCCTTTGAAATAGTGAAAAAAAGTTGAAAATAAGGTTATAAAACTGAGACACAAAGGTGCCTTTTGGATGTTGGAATTAAAAAAAATTGAATGCAGCTGCCCTTTAACACAAAATTATAATTTCATAGCTTCACAACAAGAAAAATTTTAACTTGAAGCATAAGCGTCCAACATGACGCAAAAACTACTGAGTTATGTATAAACAAGGACTACCATTTGTGGACCGTCTCCCCACAATACACTGAAATCAGTCTAATCAAACCTGGCAGTGCACTATAAACTTCATGCCATATTAAATTCCATAAATAATGCCTGGGTTTCAAAGATTCTACTTCTAACAAGACAGATGACAGGTTTAATGTAACGTTTGACACGTCTGAGGTCAAATTAGGTATAAAAAAAACAAGCAAACTGTCACTGTCAGTCAAATCCCCTCCTGTGCACTTCACTTGAAAGATTCCAAGGGGCGTAGATTGTACACGCATACACGATGCCACAGGCCACTTGTTGAGAGCTTGATTAGGCTTTGTTACTGATTAACAGGTATCCATGATCACATCATGACCCATTTTGCACTGCAGTTTCTATGCACAGCAACTTTTTTTTTCAGGTCTGAGCAGACAAACAGAGGAACTTTCTGTGAAGTGGGTGTGTTAAACCATTGAAGGACTTCAGAAGAGCAGTATAAGACATGCAGTATCTGGTTCATAAGTGTGACATCACTTCAGTTCCAACCACGCCTGCCGCACACAGCCCTACTTGGAACCGGAAGATACGGTAGCACACGACTTGAGTGCTCATCCAACGGAAGCTCGTAATCAGTGGTGCATGCACCTGTATAACGAAGTCACTTCTGAACTGGATGGAGGACCATACTTGAAACTGAAAAGTTTCAAATATTCAATGCACATCGCAATACTATTGATATCGAACCAGTACCACACAAACTCAGCAGTATAACTCAACATCATCACAAAGAGAGCCTGCCCACAGATTTCAAGAGCAACACAATGGAGAATTCAACTGGATTATACGAGTTCTCAAACTATTCAAACTTTGTTCACAAGGAAAATGATTGCATTGGAAACTGGGACATGAGTTGCATTGTTAACATGGTTGTAATGAGCTTAATCTCCTCATTCTGCCTCATCTGCAACTCGTTTGCCCTGCTGGTCTTACATCGCATTCATGACATGCACGATGTCACCAAGCTGCTGATGAGGGCTCTGACGATTGCTGACCTAGGAGTGGGCTTCTTTGGTCTTCTCACTGCAAGTCTCAAACTGTCCATTGATACAGATGTCATAGAAAATGTGGCTGAATTTTTCCAGCTGGTCAGTTTATGCATTCTTGCGATGATTACTGTGGTCCGGTACATTGCAGTTTCACAGCCTCTGAGACTTGAAACCCTTGTGACTACAAGACGAGCTTACATTGGCCTGGCATGTGCAACTTCACTGTGTCTGGTTATTGACACTTGTGAGCTGATAAGTGATTTCTTGGGAGAGGGTTTTAAGACACTGGAGACACTTTTTGACATCTGTTTCATTTTCTTTGCTGGGTTTGTTGGTTTTGGAGTCCTTATCCTGTATGTGAAACTGCTTCTGATCGCAAGGCACCAGGCACGGCGCATAGCAGCAGCTGAGGTCAACGCTGAAGATGCACAGTTCCAGCTGCACCGCTCAAATGTCACATCCCTCAAAACATTCCTGATCATCACAGCCACTTTGTATATCACTTGGTTACCATCAGTTTTTGTCTTTAGTCTCCCAAAAAACAACTATGTTTACACTTTCCTTCAAAGTCTGCGCTTCAGCAATTCCTGGTTCAACACAGTCATCTACTCCTGGAGAAATGAGACTTTCAGAAAAGTTGCCAGGAAACTCATTTGTCGAAAAGGGAGGGAGTGAAACACAACTTAGTTTAAAACAAAAAGCAAGCGAGCAAGGGAAGAAAAAATTGGGCAAAAACTAGGTAACCTGTCATGTTTGTTTTAATAAATCAAGGACTACAATGTGCATGTATTACTTTGACACCTGCAATATTCAGTGAATACCAATGTGACAG